GGTCAGGGGAGCCGGGACTCCCCCTCCCCTGGTTAACTGAGACCTGGGCCTTCGGTGTCCTCACTGTCAGTCAGGTGAGAGGGTTTATTCCTGTCCCACAGGCCGCCCGAGCCCGCGGCTCCTCCCACCGGGAGGGGTGTCCGGGTGGGGCCACAGCAGCCCCCCCCCGCCCCCCCGGCTCCCCACAGACCCCCTCCTCCCTGTGCCTCTGGCGATGGTCTCCGGGCCGGTGGTGGGACTGGCAGGCAAACCTCTCCCCTTGGCCTCTTTGAAAAACAAACATGTATATTTCTATTGATGTCAGAGAGGAAGGAGAGGGGGGGAGAGAGGAGCATCAACGATGAGAGAGAATCATAGATCGGCTGCCTCCTGCACGCCCCCCACTGGGGATGGAGCCTGCAGCCCGGGCCTCAAACTGTGCCTCCTGGTTCAGGGGTCAAAGCTCAACGCCCGAGCCAGGCCGGCCGGGCCCAGCCCCATTTCGGTGCGGACTCCCTGCCCCTCGGGACGGTGGGCTGTGGGGGCCTCCCCTCTCCCTCAGGGGCATCGCCCGCAGCCAGAGGGACAGTCGTCAGCGGCTCTGGCTTTGCCTGATTGGCCTCTGGCATCAGCAGAGAAGTCTGCTTGGCGTCGCTCGCTGACGCCGTTAGAGACAATGAGGCAATGCGGGCTGGGGCCTGGTGTCCCGGGAGACTGCGAGCAGCAGCAGTGCCGGGACCCACGTCTCCGTGCGCCTCCCATAGACCCCGGTCCGTCTGACCTGGACAGCCCGCCCCACGCTGGCGGCAGACGGCAAACCCGGGACAGGACGCGATGTGCGTGAACCTGGGTGAGACGTTCACAGAGGCTCCGCTACTCCTTCACCTTCCGCAGTTTGAAGCTTTTCAAAACAAGAGGAAAAGGAGCCTTGACCGGTGTGGCTCAGCGGATAGAGCGTCGGCCTTTGGACTGAAGGGTCCCAGGTTCGAGTCCAGTCAAGGGCATGGACCTTGGTTGCGGGCACATCCCCAGTGGGGGGTGTGCAGGAGGCAGCTGATGGATGTTTCTCTCTCATCGATGTTTCTAACTCTCTATCCCTCTCCCCTCCTCTCTTTAAAAAAATCAATAAAATATGTATTTTTAAAAATCACAAAAGCAAAACACTGAAGCTTTCCACCAAGGCCAGGCACTGTTAACAAACATGGTTTATTGAGAATTCACAGGAATTGTCTTGCCAAGAAAAGGCGGCAGGAAGTTGTGGGATGACGGAGGTCACACAGTCAGAGGCGAGAGAGTAAAACGCAGTGTTTGAAGGAAACAGATGGTTACAGGACCCATCACATACGGTCAGGGTCCCGGCCCGGCTTCCTGGACTAGGCCCCGCGCTGAGCCAGGACGGCGGAGCGCTCGGCGGGGGCCCGGGACGCGCTCCGAGGCCAGGTGCTCGCTGCTCTTCTCCGCCTTCGTTTTCTCATGACGTCGGACCACACCCCCTTTCTGAGTCTTAAAAGAACCGAGAATCCAGGTTCCTCTGCGTGGACCCAGGGCGTGTTAACATGGGACACAGGAGCACCAGCCGCAGACACCCTCCAGGAGCGCGTCCTTCCTGCGAGGGGCTCACTCCCCCGGCTGGTCCTCCCGCTCCTCCGCTCAGCAGGCGCGGAGGCCCCTCACCGTGTGACACAGGGCAGACCGCCCAGAGCCTTCGGGAGGGAAACGGCGGCCTCTGCTCTCGGACCCACAAGAGGCCCCTCCGGCTGCGCCCGCACTGGGTGTCGGGATGGCCGGGAGGACTGAAAGGCCCCCCCTTCTCTGTCCGCGTTCTCGGCGAAGGGCCGGGAACCCTGGTGGCTGCACTGTCTCCATGAACGGGTATGGCTTTGACTCGAGTGAAGAATCGGTAACGCCTCTCCCACTCAGCGACGCACCTTGTGTTGGAAGAACCCTTACCTGGCACAGCCGTGCCCTCCCCGCGGACGGCAGGCGGCTGAGGAGTGAGGACGTCGGATCCCTCTACATGGAGGCACGACAGAGTGCGGGCTGGGAGGGGAGGGGCAGAGCCTATGCGTGTATGCACGGCCCACGGCCAGATGGCGGGGCGGGGCCCCTGGAGGGAGAACGGGGACGGGGACGTATGTGACACTTTCAACAATAAAGAATTATTTAAAAATATCTGTCTCGCCCAGTTGGCATGGCTCAGTGGTCACTGGTTCAATTCCCAGTCAGGGCACAGGCCTGGGTGTGGGGGTGTGCAGGAGGCAGCCAATCAGTGATTCGCTCCTCATTGACGTTTCTCTCTCTCTCTCTCCTCCTTTCTGAAATCAATGAAAATATATTTAAAAAATAAAAACACCTATCTCTAGAGATAACAGATCAACCGAAGGACTTGTATACATGCATATAAGTACAACCAATGGACATAAAACTATGGGGAGGGAGGGGATATGGGGGAGGGAGGGAGGGGGCAAAAAAAAATCATTAAAATATGTAAAAATAAAAAAAAAAAATGTTGAGAGGGAAAAAAAAAAAAAAAAAATACCTATCTCTAGTTCAACGAAAAGGGGGTGGGGGTGGAGCTGTCTCAAGCTGGCCTGGCGGTCAGCCACTCCAGTTCTGTCCCTGGACGCAGACTGACCACCAGCCGAGTCCCAAGGCTGCCCCGGGGGGGCTGTGCTTTTTGCAATCTGAGCAATGCCACCCCGATGGGCACCCCCTTTCAGACGAGAAGAACATCCGCCTAGGGCCCTGTCATCCTTCCAACATGACGGCAAATTAAAAGAGAGAGAAAACCAGACTCTGGTGCTGGGCAGTTCATCGGGAAACACACACGTTTCCGGGGCCCGGCAGCCAGTCCGGAAGCCGGCCTGCCGTCCGGTCTGCTCCGGGCCCTTAGGTCACCGGGTACCACTTTCACTAGGTCTTCTCCCTTTCCCAAGCTGTATTTTTAAAAAACTGGCTTTAGAGAGAGGGAGGGAGGGAGAGTCAGAGAGACAGAGAGAGAGAGAGGAAGACCCATCGTTGCCCTGAACCTGCCCAACTGGGGGGTCGATGCTGTAACCGGGGTGCGCGCCCCGACCAGGAGTCAAACCCGGCCCTCTGGGGACGGCGGCAGCGGGGACATACAGCGGCGACACCGTGAGTGCATACCACGTGCAGGCTTTCCCCTCTCATGTGTGACACACTTAAAAAGAGGAGGTTCAGACGCGAAGTCGTGTCACAGAGGGGCCACGTGAGATCCGTTCTGGGAGAGCAGAGAGGGTGCTTAAAAGATCAAACAAAACCCAGGGAAGCTCCGGTTTCTCATTTCACTGAGGATTTACCACCGGCCCCGCCCCAGCCCGCAGGACAGGGGAAGTCATCCCCCTGGAAGGGCGTCTGTTAGTTCTAACTCCACACACGGCGCCTTCCTATGCACATCTAAGGCCCGAAACCTCGACGCAGGACGCGGGGTGATTCAGAGTAATAAATATCACACGGTGAGGGTGGCGGAAGGAAACCAAAGGCGTATGTACAAGGACCGGGGTCTCTATGGGGCCGCGAGTCTCTGACCTCGCCGTGAAAAGCGTGGACAGTGTCAACCACCACCACCAAAGGCCGGACAAGCCGGCGAGCTCCTGCCTCCTGTTTATAAAGGACCGCGCCTGCTCCGTCCAACAAAAACCACCACAGGTCGAAGCACATTAAAAAGACGGTGGGAGTCGCTATCCTGGGAGAGAACCAGAAGGTCTGGTCCCAGGGAGACAGGGTCCGGAGGCTCCGCAGGGTCTCTGTCCTCCCTGGACGCCATGCGGCCTGGCCTCCGGGCGCCGGGGGGAGGGAGAGGGAGCTCCAGTCTCCGCTCCGACGTGGAAGGACGAAGGGCCACCCCGGAACGGAGCCCCGGGGGGACGTCTCGGAGGATTGCTGGACGTCGTTCTTCATCGTTCTCACGATGCCAGTCGTAACCGGCGACGGGACGGGCGCCCAAACTGTGCCACTCTGGACTAGAACAGAACGGAGATGGACAGGCCACACAGGGCACTCACAGCAGACGATCGGGAGACCCGGGCACTGGAAGGCAGCGGCGGAGACACAGTCAGGAAGGAGCGAGTGGATGGCGCACAGCCACGGGGACGGCCACACGTGGACAGTCTCGGGCCGATGCTCGTGTGGAAACACAAGCGGTACTTCACCCGGTGTATGTACGTAAGAAAACAAAATGTAAGCAGTACTGGCCTGCAACAAATCCACAGGGGAAAAAAGGGATGTGAAGAAAAGTCTTATCTTTAAACTTCTTGTGGGACCGAGATGTGGCCAGAGCCGTGTCCGTCAACAGCAGATTCCCGCTGGCCAGTGTGGCTCAGTGGCTGAGCGTCCACCCCCGAACCAGGAGGTTGTGGCTGGATTCCTGGTCAGGGCACAGGCCGGGGTGCTAGCTCGATCCCCCAGGGGGGGTTCTTTCTTGTCCTTGATGCTTCTCCCTCTCCCTCTCCCTCTCCCTCTCCCTTCCTCTCGGAGATCAATAAAAATAAATTTTAAAAAAGTCACCGTCAGGACAGGTGGGCGGCAGGTGCAAGTCCTGGTCGCTGGGAGGAGGAGGGGACCGGAGACAGGGAGGCGCTGGGGTGCGTTCCCACGTCCCTGGGGAGGGGGGTCCCTGGCGGAGGGGGTCCCCGGCCGATGGGGGTCCCCGGCGGAGGGGGTCCCCGGCCGATGGGGGTCCCCGGTGAAGGGGGTCCCCGGCCGATGGGGGTCCCCGGCCGAGGGGGGTCCCCGGCGGAGGGGGTCCCCGGCCGAGGGGGGTCCCCGGCCGATGGGGGTCCCCGGCCGAGGGGGGTCCCTGGCCGATGGGGGTCCCCGGCCGATGGGGGTCCCCGGCCGAGGGGGGTCCCCGGCGGAGGGGGTCCCCGGCCAAGGGGGGTCCCCGGCCGATGGGGGTCCCCGGCCGATGAGGGTCCCCGGCCGAGGGGGGTCCCCGGCGGAGGGGGTCCCTGGCCGATGGGGGTCCCCGGCCGATGGGGGTCCCCGGCCGATGAGGGTCCCCGGTGGAGGGGGTCCCCGGGGAAGGGTCCCCGGGGAGGGGTCCCCGGGGAGGGGTCGGCGGCGGCGAGGTCAGAAGTCGATGGTGAGGGCCGCCGGGGCAGGGTCCTCGCGGCCGCGCGCGTAGATCTCGCAGGGGACCTCCTCGGCCACGCGGCCGGCGCGGGGCGAGCTGGGGCCGGCGGCCGGCTGGAAGGTGAAGCTGCTGCGGGGGAAGGTGCTGTTGAAGGTCTTCATGGGCTGGGGCGGCGCGAAGTCGTGGCGGAAGGGCAGCTCGGCGGCCGGCAGGGCCGGGCGGCCGGGCCGGGCCTGCGCCCCGCAGTGGTGCTCGTGCACGCAGCGCGAGGCGGAGGAGGCGCGCTGCAGCGGCCGGTAGCCGTCCAGCTCCTCGCCCAGGTCGCCCAGGTCGGCCGCCAGCTCCTTGTCCCGCAGCGAGAAGAGCTCGTAGTGCGGGGGGTCGAAGGCGTCCGGGAAGCCGGGCTTGGGGAAGGCCGCCTTGCAGGCCAGCACCTTCTTCCGCGGCTGCTTCACCTGCACCAGCACCGACACCACCAGCAGCACCAGCACCACGCCCGACGCCACGCCGATGATGGTGCCGTGGGTCCGCGTGATCTGCTCGAAGAGGCCGGCCCGCTTCCTCTCTGCGGAGAGACGGGGGCCTGCAGCCGGGAAGGGGCCCGGGCACCGCCCGCCACGGGGACCCGGGAGCCAGGAGGTCACGGTTCGATTCCCGGTCGGGGCACAGGCCCCGGATGTGAGCTCAATCCCCAGTCGGGGGCGTGCAGGAGGCAGCTGATCAATCTCTTCCCTCCGCCCGCCCTTCCTTCCTCTCTCTAAAAAGCAATAAACACATCTACACTAATAAAAGAGAAAGATGCAAATTGTGCCTTCACAACGCCCACCAGCCAATCAGGGGTGAGTGTGCAAGTCAACCCAACAAAGATGGCGGATTAATTTGCATACAGAGGTGCCGAGCAGCTGGGGGCTGGACACAGGCATTCAGCACTGCCCCAGACACTCTGGGCCTCGGGGCAGCCTGGGAAGGCCGAAAGGCGGCTCCAGGCCAGAGCACAGGCGGTGCCGGCAGCCAGGGGAAGGCAGGCCCATTCTCGCAGGAATCTTCGCGCACCGGGCCTCTAGTATCTAATGAGCAGTGATGGCGCTGTCCCCCGGGGAAGGCGGGCCTTCGCCCAGGGACTCACCTTTGCAGTGGTTCTCGTCCCACGGGTACGCGCAGTTCTGGACGCCGTTGCAGACCAGCGAGTTGTTGATGCACATGTTGCTGTGGCAGAAGAAGGTGCTGCCCGTGCAGGGCGCTGGGGGGAGGCCAAGGACAGAGTGTGAGTCCTCCCAGGAGCGCCCTCTGCACCACGCCGCCCCGGGAAGACAGAGGCCAGCGCTCCCCAAAGACCACGTGCTACTCCTCACCCGAGGGCATCTTCCCGTTGATTTTTAGAGAGAAGGGAAGAGAGAGGGGAAGACAGAGAGCAACATCGATGAGAGGAACACAGGGATGGGCTGCCTCTTGCTTGTGCCCAAGCCGGGGAGCCTGCAAGCGAGGCACATGCTCTTGGCTGCCGTTAGTCCCCGGGCCCAACACTCTCTCCACTGAGCCACACCGGCCAGGGCTCAGCCCCACTTTCTCCTTTTCTTTCTTTCTCTTTTAAAATATGTTTTACTGATTTTTTTACAGAGAGGAAGGCGGAGGGATAGAGAGCTAAAAACATCGATGAGAGAAACATCGACCAGCTGCCTCCTGCACATCCTCAGTAGGGGATGTGCCTGCAACCAAGGACTAAGACCCAGTCATGTCTACACCCTGTGAGCTGCCGTTTTTGTCAAAAGAAGACGCTCAATGTCCGGCCGCGTGGCTCCGAGGCTGAGCATCGACCTAGGAACCAGGAGGTCACGGTTCAATTCCCGGTCAGGGCACACGCCCGGGTGGTGGGCTCCATCCCCAGTGCAGGAGGCAGGCGATCCATGATCCTCTCTCATCATGGGTGTCTCTCTCTTTCTTTGAAATAAATAAAAATATATTAAAAAAGAAAGAGAAAAGGGAGGAGACGCTCCAGGACCGTCTTGAACGGGTGGAAACGATGCCCACGACCTCACGCCCAGGCGGTCACTCACGCTCCACGAAGGAGGTGAAGAGCAGCCGGAAGCGGCTGAGCCGGCTGCCCTCGTCCGCCCACATGCGCACCACGCCCACGCCCGTGCGCAGCGTCACGTCGTTGGCCACCGTGCTGCAGAACTTGGCCTTGAGGTTCTCGATGGCACTGCTCCCGTCGTACACGGCCACGAAGTTGCGCTGGCACTCGTTGGAGTGCTCCATCTGGTAGTCCAGGAACCGCAGGTAGATCTGCGAGCCAGAGGGACACGGCTCTCACGGGGCCCGGCGCCCAGGCACCGCCCAGGCCGAGGGCTCGGTCCCGGTCAGGGCACCAACAGGACTCTGCCCGGAGGGGGCGACACGTGGACCGAGAAGTCGATGCCTCGCTCCCTTTTCTCTTTTAATACAAACACACGTTACGTGTCAGTTTAACTGCTGGGACTCCTGGAAGCGACAAGCAGGAGGAGTTAGCCGCCAACCCCCGTCTGTCTGTCAGGGACCGAAAGCCGCCTCCCCTGGGGGCGTCCCGGGAGCAGTCTGACTGGTGGGATGGGGGAGAACAGGGGACTGGGGTTTGCTGCGTTGGGGTTTGGTGTTAACCAACCCCGAGACCTTGGACAGAACACTTTAGCTTCTTGGGATCCACTTTTCCTCTCAAAACTCCATTTTTTTTTTTTTAATCCTCACCTGAGGATGTTGTAATTGATTTTATTTATTTACTGATTTATTTATTTATAGTATATTTTATTGATTTTTTTTATTTTTTTTTTATTTTTACAGAGAGGAAGGGAGGGAGATAGAGAGCTAGAAACGTTGATAAGAGAGAAACATCGATCAGCTGCTTCCTGCACATTCTCTACTGGGGATGTGCTCACAACCAAGGTACATGCCCTTGACGGGAATCGAACCTGGAACCCTTCCGTCTACAGACCGACGCTCTACCACTGAGCCAAACAGGTTTTGGCCAATAAAATATATTAAAAAATAAAAAGAATCTTACTGCAGCTGTGTGCTATTCCTGAAATTGACACGATAGCTTATTTGTTTACAAACACATCATCGCAGGACTCGCCCTTCCGCCCTGCCCCGCCCTGGCCGCCCCACCCCGCGCACCTTGGCCCTGGGGGTGGCCCGGATGGTCCAGATGCAGTCCACTGCCTGCCCGGGCTTCGTCTTCTCCTCCTGCTCCACCTGGCTGGACCGCACCACGCCGTCGGCCCCCGAGAGCTCGAACTGGCAGTCTGCAAGGGAGGGGGCACGGTGAGCGGGTGCGCAGGCGGGCGGAGGGCGGGGAGGAAAAGGAGGGAGCATACTAAACCTGGGATGGGGTTTAAAATACCTCCGAGGTACGTAAAGTCTGGATCTGCAACGGAAAGAGGAGAGCGTCAGCGGCTTTGAGGCAGTGTAGAGCCACCTACCACGGCGGACGCTACATTTAGAAACGGACGTTACAGTAAAAACTGCTACATTTAGTAACAGACGCTATAGTTAGTAACGTATGCTACAGTAACAGATGCTGCACTTAGTGACGGCTACTACGTTTAGTAACAAACGCTACATTTAGTAACAGACACTACATTTAGTATCAGCTGCTACAGTTACAGATGCTACAGTAACAAACGCTACACTTAGTGACGGCTACTACATTTAGTAACGAACGCTACATTTAGTAAAGGATGCTACAGTAACAGATGCTACAGTAATAGTAACCGACACTATATTTAGTAACAACTGCTACAGTAACAAATACTACACTTAGTAATGGCTGCTACATTTAGTAACAGACGCTACATTTAGTAACAGGTGTCACACGTAGTAACAGACGCTGCACTTAGTAATGGTGCCAGAGAGAGCTTCCTGGTGTGGACTAGAGACCACTGTGATTTAAGTGCACATTCACTGACAGCATCATGCTTTTAAGTGATAATACATGGGTTTAAAAAATACATCTTTTTAATTGATTGCAGAGAAGAAGAGAGAGAGAAACATCAACGGTGAGAGAGAATCATGGACCGCTGCCTCCTGCATGCCCCCCACTGGGGATGGAGCCCGCAGCCCGGGCCTGGGCCCTGACCGGGAGTCAGGGCTGCCGCTTTGTGACACGCAGGCAGAGCCACAGGGGCTGGGCTTCATCTCTCCCGGTGACAGGCTTCTGCGTGAAAACCCGAATGGCAGTGAGAGCCGCGCACTCGCCGCCGGCAGAGGGCAGCCCGTGTCCCCGTGTCCCCCCGGGGCTGGCTCTGCCGGTCAGCCGTCCGAGAGCGCCGGTCCCGGCGGCGGCCCGGCTCTTACCTGGGATGAAGGAGTACTTGGCCCGGAAGCCCAGGCCTTCGAGCTCCTCGTCGGAGCTGAACCTGACCCACAGGAAGCGGCCGGTGGAGCGCAGCAGTGGGGGTCTCCGCGCGCCGCAGAAGCGGTCGATGAGCGGGGAGAAGCCGAAGGGCCCGTCCCGCACCTCCAGGTGGTCGAAGCGGCACTCGAACGAGGGCTCGATGTGGAAGTGCTGGTCGAAGGCCAGCTCGATGCGCTGGCGGGGCGCGGCTGCAGGGAGAGCCACGGCGGTCACGGTTAGTGACGGGCGTGCAGGCCGCCCGTGGGCGGGCGCTGCCGAGGGCCGGGGGGAGGACGCTGCTCACAGAACCCACGGCCCGTCCGTCTCCGCTGCTTGGGGGGCGCCGTGCTCACCAGCGTCGCAGGGAAAGGGGAGCCGAGCAGCTCGTGTTGGCCCCGACCACAGTGCGCGGGAGCAGAACCCCGGGGGGAAGGCAGGGAGGGGGCCGAGGGCGTGGACTGGCCCGGAGCCGGGAAGTGAGAGCGGTCCTCACCGAGGGGTTTCCCAGCCAACGGGGCAGCGAGGTGCGCTGGGACGTCTTAGGCCAGTGGTCGGCAAACTCATCCGTCCACAGAGCCAACTATCAACAGCGCAACGACTGAAATTCCTTCGGAGAGCCACATTTTTTAAACTTAAACTTCTTCTAACGCCACTTCTTCGATACACACTCGCCCAGGCCGTGGCATTTAGTGGGAGAGCCACACTCAAGGGGCCAAAGAGCCGCATGTGGCTCGGGAGCCGCAGTTTGCCGACCATGATCTTAGGGGATTCAAACTCCTAGGTCATCGCAACTGTTGTCTTGGGAATGTGCTCGGTATTCAGAAACACGGACACACTGCTAGAGTTCAGCTCAAAAAATAGATGCTGAATTTTGTTCAAGTTGGTTTAAACAGGGCATTTTAACCAATGGGTTTAGTTTTACCAGGAAAGTAAAAAGGCCCTGGCTGGTGTGGCTCAGTGGATAGAGCGCCAGCCTGCGGACTGAAGGCTCCCGGGTTCAGTTCTAGTCAAGAGCACAGGCCTGGGTTGCGGGCTCGATCCCCAGAGTGTGGCATGCAGGAGGCAGCCGATCCATGATGCTCTCTCATCATGGATGTTTCTCTCTCTCGTTCCCTCTCCCTTCCTCTCTGAAGTCAATAAAAATATATTTTAAAACATAAAAAGAAAAGAATCAATCAACCAATCAATGGGAAGACGTCCTCGGGTGAGGAGAGAAAAGAAGAGCAGTGAAAAGGCGCGGAGTGAGGACAGAAGCCGGCGGTACCTTCCAGCACGTAGGTGCACTCCCTGTTGGGCGGGTACGGGTCCGGGTAGCTCGGCGAAGCAAAGTGGCCTCCATTGCTGGTCCGGACCCAGATGCCGCACTGGGTGCCGGCCACGTGCCGGACCCCGATGTTCTGTCCATCTGGCGGGAACGGAGGTCAGAGCAGCGGTCCCAGCAAGAGGGCGACCCTCCTCCCTCCCACCACTGCCCGCCTCACCCACACGGCGCCTTTCCACACCCCCCCCCCACGTGCACGTGCAGCGGCCCCGGAGCGCCTACCTGGGGGCTTCTGGGCTACAGCGATCCCCTCCACCACCAGCACGGTGATCAGCAGCACTGCGGGGAGGGAGACGGGTACGGCTTCCATTAGTATTTAAGGAAGATCAGATGACGACCGAGGAACCAAAACCACTTTCCTTACATTTGCTCTCGATTTAAAAATTTAAGGCAAATTTTATTAAGCCTAGTTGGCGTGGCTCCGTGGCTGAGCATCGACCTGTGAATCAGGAGGTGGCGGTTTGACTCCTGGTCAAGGGCACAGGCCCGGGCTGTGGACTCCATGCCCAGTAGGGGGCGTGCAGGAAGCAGCTGGTCCATGATTCTCTCTCCTCATGGATGTTTCTATTCCTCTCTTCCTCTCCCTTCCTCTCTGAAATCAATAACAAAATTTTTTTAAAAGTATTTTCTTAAGTCTATTTTTATTGCTTTCAGAGAGGAAGGGAGCAGGGAGGGATAGAAGCATCCATGAGAGATAATCATGGATTGACTGCTCCCTGCATGTCCCCTACTGAGGATAAAGCCCAAAACCGGGGCCTGTGCCCTGACCAGGATGGAACGGCCACCTCCTGGTTCCTAAGTCTGTGCTCAACCACTGAGCCACACTGGCCAGCGGGAATCTGCTGTTGACGGACACGGCTCTGGCCACATCTCGGTCCCACAAGAAGTTTAAAGGTAAGACTTTCCTTCGCATCCCTTTTGATTTTTTCTTTTGTTTGTTGCAGGCCAGTACTGTTTACCATTTCGCTTTCTTACGTACATACACGCAGTGAAGGAACCGCACACGTTTCCACATGGGCATCAGCCCGAGCCTCCGTCCACGTGCGACAGATCCCGTGGCAGCTGCCAGGGAAGCCGGAGCTGTGCTCTGTGGGCCAGGAGGTGAGGGTTAGCTGTGAGGTTCTGATGAGCTACTGGACAGGGAGGGCAGCCCGAGCACAAAGATAACTGACAATGTACTCAAGTATCTGAACCCTGAGGACACTCAGCACGGAAAGCACGTTTTAATTCATGATGCATTCCGAGAACACACACTTTTTCTTTTTTTACAGCAAACGTGGCAGACCCCAGCTGTTCCCGTCGGCCCTGTAGTCCCCCCAGGGGTGCACGCTCTATGGCTGGCTCTGCGGTGAGTCAGCCAGCAAACGCTCGGCGAGGCGATGGGCCGGGAGGAGCACTGAGAAAAAGGACGGGGAGGGGGCGGCAGGCTCCCGGGGACCAATCCCGGGCGCTCTGTGGCCCTGCGAGGCCCAGGCCCCCGACCGAGGCCGAGGGACTAAGGCCCGGGGTGAGGACACGAAGCTCTTTGTTCCTCCCCATCTGAGGCTCAATCAACGATAATGAATTCCTTCGTGCTGTGAAGAGCCTTTTACTTCTTAACTTTTAAAAACATGTTTTAATTGATTTTCAGAGAGAGCGAGGGAGAGGGAGAGGGAGAGGGAAACACCGATGAGGAGAGAGAATCTTCGGTCGGCTGCCTCCTGCACATCCCGACGGGGGTGGACCTGTAACAGGGGCACACGCCCTGACCAGGCTGACACTCAGCCACCGAGCCACGCCGGCCAGCTCAGTTGCAATTTTATACATCAACACCGAACTACCGGACAAAAACCATACACCTATGGATGAGGACAGCGGGGTGGGTTGGGGGGGGGTAAAGGCAGAGGGTGGGGTGGGGATCAGGTGGAGGGGAGCTATGGGGGGGGGGGAGGGGAAACAATTGTAATAATCTGAACAATAAAGATTTATTAAATTAAAAACAAACAAAAAAAAACCACACTGAATTACGAGAAAGGGAAACTAAGAAAACAATCCCATTTATAGTTGCGAGCGCACACACACACACACACACACCCCAAACCAAACAAAGACAACGAGAAATGGAAGCAGACACGCTGAGTGGCAGCACTCTGTGTCCTGGGCAGGAAGACTGGACACCATGGACCTGTCCACATGGTCCCCTGCACCCCACAGAGCCGCGCCTCCTGTCCGGACCCCGAGGGCGCGTTCCTCGGAACGGGAACAAACGCCCCGGAAGCTCCCGGAGCCGCAGGAGGCCGGAGCCCGGCCCAGAGACAGAGGGACGCGGCCGGAGGCCCGCACCGCCTGCCACCGGGCGTCCGGGGCGGGCATCACAGCGGCAGATCGATGGGGCCGAACAGAGCGCCCGGGATGGATCCACGCCTCCTGCTCCGATCGACACTCCACAAAGGAGCAAGGACGCACACCGGGGTAACGGCGTCCATGCAATCGATGGTGCTGTGATAATGGGACACCAGAATAAGCTCAGAATAGATCAACTTAAGTACTGGACTTGGAACCATAAAAATCCAAGGAGAAAACAGAGGCAGTAAAATTTCTCGTAGCAATATATATATATATATCTGTTTTTTCTGACCCATCTCCTCCGGCCAGGGGAACAAAAGGAAGAATGAGCCGTCGGGACCACCTCGCACCAAAGAGCTTTTGCCCAGCAAAGGGACCATCGACAACGAAAAGACAAGCGCCTGAGTTAAGAACGTACCCGCCAAGGCCACATCCGGTAAAGGTTTATGTCCAAGATGGATACAGAACTTACACAGCTCAACACCACCCCCACCAAACCACACCGCCAATGAGGGCCGGCAGAGGGCCGGCAGAGGGGCTCTCCGAGGACTGCAGAGGCCCAGACACAGGAAAAGGTGCTCAGCCTGGCGAACCACCCGAGAGACGAAAACTTAAACCACAATGAGCATCACCACCTCTCACCGGCCAGAGCGCGATCACAGGAAACCAACCGGCGCCAAAGCGCCGGGAGGGTGCGGAGAAGAGGGAGCCGGTGCCCGCGGCGGGAGGCAGGCCGGGCGGCCGCGGCGGGAGGCAGGCCGGGGCAGCCATGGCGGGAGGCAGGCCGGGTGGCCATGGCAGGAAGCAGGCCGGGCGGCCATGGCGGGAGGCGGGCCGGGGCAGCCATGGCGGGAGGCGGGCCGGGGCGGCTATGGCGGGAGGCGGGCCGGGGCGGCCATGGCGGGAGGCGGGCCGGGGCGGCCGCGGCGGGAGGCGGGCCGGGGCGGCCATGGCGGGAGGCAGGCCGGGGCGGCCATGGCAGGAAGCAGGCCGGGGCGGCCATGGCGGGAAGCAGTGTGGAGTTTCCTCGACAAATTAAATGGACCTGCCTGTCACTGCCGGGCACACCCCGGAGAGACCGACCCTGAAGGGAGGAGCAGGTGCCCCGTGCCCACTGCGGCCACGGTGGAGGCAGCCGCAGCGCCACCCCGAGGTGAGGGGTGAAACAGCTGGGGGACAGTTCAGAAGGAATAGCACTCAGTCATAAAAAGGGAGGAAATCTTGCTGAAACCGGTGTGGCTCAGTGGATAGAGGGTTGGTCTGCGGACTGAAAGGTCCCGGGTTCGATTCCGGTCAGGGGCATGTACGTTGGTTGCGGGCACATCCCCAGTAGGGGGCGTGCAGGAGGCAGCTGGTCGATGTTTCTCTCTCATCGATGTTTTCTAACTCTTTATCCCTCTCTCTTCCTCTGTAAGAAAAATCAATAAAAATATATATTAAAAAAGAAGAAGAAGGGGATCTTATTACCCTCTGCGACAGCGTGGAGGCACCTGGAGAGCGTTGTGCTGAGCCAAGTAAGCCGGTCAGACAAAGCCCTGTTCCCTATGATCCCACTCACGTGGCATCTAGCGAACAACGTGAGCTAACAACCACCTCAGAAACAGACCGCAGGCACGGAGAGCAGACTGACGGCTGTCGGAGCCCAGCAGCTTGTGGGGTGGGTGAAAAAGCAAAGCAAATCCCCTCCCGCAACAAACAAACGTACAGACAGACAATGGTATGCTGATCGGGAGAGGGGAAGGAGGTGGAGGAGGGAAGAGAAAGTAAAGGGGGCCCTAACCCGTGTGGCTCAGTGGATAGAGCATCGGCCTGCGGACTCAAGGGTCCCAGGTTCAATTCTGATCAGGGGCATGTGCCTTGGTTGCGGGCACATCCCCAGTGGGGGGTGTGCAAGAGGCAGCTGATCGATGTTTCTAACTCTGTCCCTCTCCCTTCCTCTCTGTAAAAAATCAATAAAATATATATTTTTTTTAAAAGAAGAAGAAAGTAGCCGAAACCGGTTTGGCTCAGTGGATAGAGCGTCGGTCTGCGAACTAAAAGGTCCCAGGTTCGATTCCGGACAAGGGCATGTACCTTGGTTGCGGGCACATGCCCAGTAGGTGGTACGCAAGAGGCAGCTGATCGATGTTTCTCTCTCATCGACGTTTCTTAGCTCTCTATCCCTCTCCCTTCCTCTCTGTGGAAAATCAATAAAATATATTAAAAAAAAGAAAAGAAAAGAAGACAGTAAAGAGGGAAAAGAGGATGGAGGAGACTTGACGTGGGGCGGGGAACACACACACGACACACAGATGATGTCGGGGCAGACTGTATCCCTGAAACCAATACAATTGCATTAAATAATGCAGTAAATTAAAGACAGACACAGCTTTCCAGGACTTACTTATGCCTGCACTGTTTGCTCTCTTCGATGCGAGGCTTGGATGAAGGACAGGAGCCGGAATTATGCCGGCCTCACACAGGTGTTTTCAAATGTGGTGCAAGGGGATGTTCACGCTGCATCATCGCCAATGCAGCCCCCGGTCCCGGCAGCGTGGGCGCGGACGGGACTGTGATCCAGACAGGCACGCACGCCGAGGACCTGCCCTCTGACCCGGCAGGTCCGTGTGACCGAGCACACTCCCGGCGGGTCCCTGGGAGGCATCGGGGCCTCAGAGCCGAACGGACAGGAAGCTGCGGGGCCTCAGACAGGGGAGCCGCTCCGAGGGCCCGGGGCGGCGGCAGAAACGCCTGGACCGCGGCCTCCCTGCGAGGCGGAGGCCAGTGCCGCCGGGACCCCCTCCCGGAGACCGACAGCCTTCGTCACCTCCGCACGCTGGCTGCATTTGGAGAAAAACAAACCCCCCTTTCCCTGACGGAGGGAAAGCCTTCGGAAGCACCCAGCGCCCCACACTGTCACAGCCTGAGCGGCGGCGCTGGGAAAACGCCATCTCTGTAACTTTCCAACTTAAAGGCCATGCTGCTTTGCACAGGTGACGCACGCACCGGCTTTAAGACATCAGGCGAGGGACGAGGGACGAGGGACGCCTCCCCAGGGGCTGTGCTCCTCTGAGGACCGGACACAGGGCTTGTTCTGTCCCGGGCTCAGGAGCGGCTTTGTATCCGCCTCCTTCCATCTCCACACACACGTTACTCTACTGTGCACACATGTAACCTACTGTGCACACATGTCACCGAGTGTGCACCCCTTCCATCTCCACACACACGTTACTCTAATGTGCACACATGTAACCTACTGTGCACACATGTCACCGAGTGTGCACCCCTTCCATCTCCACACACACGTTACTCTACTGTGCACACATGTAACCTACTGTGCACACATGTCACCGAGTGTGCACCCCTTCCATCTCCACACATACATGTTACTCTACTGTGCACACATATCACCGTGTGTACACCCCTTCCATCTCCACACACACGTTACCCTAATGTGCACACACGTAACCAAGTGCACACCCCTTCCATTGCCATACACATGTTATTCTAATGTGCACACATGTTACTCTAATGTGCACACATGGAACCGAGTGCACACCCCTTTCATCTCCACACACAGGTTATTCTAATGTGCACACATGTAACCTAATGCGCACACACATCACTGAGTGTACACCCCTTCCATCTCCACACCCGTTACTCGAATGTGCACCTCTCACTCGGACACACAGCCACGTCACCTGAGGCACACACTCCCTGCTCAGAATCCCGAATCCCGGAATCCCCCCAGGCGGCTGTCAGCACCCTCCTCTGCAGGCGCATGGCTGTCAGAGACCAAACACAGCGGCTGGGGCCGGGCCTGCCCCGCCACAGCCCCCCCCGCGGCGCGGCCACCCCACTGTTGTCACCGGAGCTCCCCGGCCCCCGCCACGGGCAGAGCTCGGCCGGAGGGGGCGGCGGCACCCCGAGAGGGGCAGGCGGCCCCCTCCCTCCCGCCGGGAGCCGGGGCCCCACAAGCTGTGCCGGCGGCGGCGGCGAGGCTGAGCCGCGCACTGACTGTCCGGGAGACAGAGCCCCGTGATGGGCAGACACGGGAGGGGGAGCCCCCGGAAAGCGGCTCCCTCTGCACAGTTCGTTTGGAGGGGGCACAACACCGCCTTCCCGTCCTGCCCGAGCCCGGCCCCGGGGCCGAGCGGGCCGGGTGGGAGGAACGGGGGAGCCGCCAGGCGTTCATGGGGGGACGGAGAAACAGGCTCCGGCTGGCGGGTCCCAGTGCCCGGTCGGCCCGGAGCCCCGGGTGGGAGTTGGGGGGCCGGGGCCGAATGCCTGTCCCACGATGGAGACTGACACCGAACGCGCTAATGACTGTCACACCCGGGGACGGGAAAGTGTGGGTGCGGACAGGAAAACACCCCCTTGGTCACCCCCGGTTCCAGGGTCCTGTGGCGAGCGCTACATGCCCGCATACACCCCCCTCTCCACTCCTTCCCCCTGAGACAGAGACACAGAGACAGACAGAGAGACACACAGAGACAGAGAAACACAGAGACATAGATAGAGACAGAGAGATACAGAGAGACAGAGACAGAGATACAGAGACAGAGACACAGAGACGGAGCATGTCGTAGCGTTGCCGGCACGCTGTCCGGCGGGCACGGGCACCGGGAACGAACAGGGCTCATTCAGGGCGAGTTTCAGCGGCAACTTTGTCTCCGCATCTCGGCGGCCTGGGCTCCGGGTCCGAATGGAAACCGCCCCCCGCCCGCCCGGGGTGCCGGCCCCACCGCGGCAGGCGGAGCCGGGTGCCCGGTCCGGGCGGCGGGCCGCAGTGGGGCCGCAGCTCGGGCCGCCGCAGGTGGGACCGGCGGGGCCGCCCCCCGCCCCCCGCCCCCCGCCCCGCGGGCCGTGCAGCGCCGCGGGGCCCGCAGGTCCGGGAAGCCGGCCCGCGCCCGCCGCCGCGAACCCGCAACTTCGCGGAGCGAGCGAGGCCCGCGCCGGCGCCGTGGGTCCCCGTCCCGGTCCCCGTCCCCGTCGAGCCCGGCCGGAGCCCCGAGCCCGCGCGGCGCCCAGACAAAGGCGCGGCGCCGGGGACGGAGCCCGCCTCGGCCCGCAGGGGGCGCCGCGCGGGCCCGCTTACCTTTGAGGGTCGGGCCGAGCCGCTCCAGGGCCATGGTCCCGGCGGCGGCGGCGCGGCGGCGCTCACGGCCCGGCTGGCAGGCGGCCCCGCGCCGAGCCCATCGCGGCCGCCGGGCGGCCTCCCCGCGGGCGGCGCTCAGGGCCCGCCGTCCCCGCGCCCGCCGCCCGCCCCCGGCCCCCGACGGGCGCCGCCTCCGGCCTCCCGGCGCCCCGTCCCATCGACCGGCCCCGAGCCGCGCGGCGCGGGCGCACGGACAGCCCGAGCGGCCCCGCTCAGCGGCGGCGGCGGGGAGCCCGGCGCATTTAAGCGGGGAGCGAGCGCCGCGTGCCGGCCGCCGCCGCAGGCCCCGCCCCGCCAGCGCCCTCGCGGCCAATCGGAGGCCTTGCTCCGCCCTCCAGGCCCGCCCACCCGCGCCCTCGCAGCCAATCGCCCGTCCGCCAGGTCCCGCCCCTCACCATCAGGCCCCGCCCCGCCAGCGCCCTCGCGGCCAATCGGAGGCCTTGCTCCGCCCTCCAGGTCCCGCTCCTCCCCACGCCCTCGCGGCCAATCGCCCCCGGAGGGCGGCCCCGCTCTTGACCGGGCCGCCAGGCGGGGGAGGGAGGGCTGGTGGTGGTGTGTGGTCGCGGTCCAGTCCCGCCCGGAGAGCGGGCACCGCGCTCGGCCTCCCCGGGCCGCGGTGTCAAGGTCAAGCGCCGGCCCCGCCCCCGCTTCCACCGCCCGGGCCTGCCGCCGCCTCGGTTGCAGGCACCGGACCAAGCACTTGCCCTCAGGCGGGCCCGGTGGGGGCCGTGGAGGGGGAGCGGAGGCCAGAGGGGCTTTGTCCGTCCAGGGCCCGCGCGGGGAGGGCGGGGGAGGGAAACCGAACAACCTGTTCCCCACACACCTGCCCCGCAGCCCGAGCGTGACCTATGACCCAGAGGTCACGCGGCGCAACCCCCAGTGGGGGGCTTGCAGGAGGCCAAGCCCTCAGAGGATCCCCGCATCATTGATGGTTCCTCTCTCCTCCCGCTCACTCGCTCTGAACCAATAAAAACAGATTTTTTTAGAAAAACATTCAGTTGCTGCAGGCAAGGGAGGCTCCGCACAGCGCCTTTTTCTCCGAGCTCACTTCCCGGGTTTTAACCACGTCCCGGAGCCAGTGGGAGCTGCTGGGAGCACCCTGCCCCGATGGCCACACTGAGCCTGTGCCTGACACACAGTAGGGACTCAGCCGCGCTGGTCCCACCGGCTTCATTGGGGACCAGGGCCGCACCGGGAAGAAACCTCCCGGTTGTCAGGAGCGCTCTTTCCTTCCATCACCAAGAGGCAAAGCAGCGGGTGTCCGCAGGGTTTGCTGTGAGCGCGGCCGCCCCGGTGGGCACCGAGGTCTCAGCCCGTGGCGGGCCCGGAGGCATCGCACTGCGTGTGTGGGCGACCTCCCCTGCCGTCATACGAGAATGGCATGGATGAGCAAGAGCCAGCCAGCTTATCGGGCGTTCAGGAGCCCCCTTCCACAAACACTATCAGGTGCCCCCCGGGGAGACCTCCGAGTGCAGACCAGGGTTGTGGGGGCCGTCTGCAGCAGTGGCAGGCTCTACAGGCACGGCCGAGGGGAGGGAGGAGGGCGTGTGTGCTGTCTCCGTGTAGGGGCCGGCTCGTGAAGGGCTGGGGGGTGGCGAGGGGGGAGGGGAGAGGAGAGGAGGGGCGTGTGGTGCTTGGAGGCGGCGGTCAGGCCGAGTCTGCTCTCCCCTGAGGGCGGAGGCACAGGGTCACAGGGGAGCCTCAGGGGCAGGAGTTTCAGGCTGTGACGGGAGAGATGAGAGCACCCGTAGTAATTATATCTTCAAAATACACGTTT